CCTTCTCTCCCTTTCATAGGGTTCACCTCAAGAACCATCTATAATAAATCTGCTCTTATGGTCTCCTTCCCAGTGACACAACCTGTGAGTGGCATTTATTCGTAGAAATTCTTACTTTGCATTGCCCAGTTCTCATATTAGTCAAAATATATTGGCTTTTCTCTGTGATTTGGGCATTTATATCTTGCTCTGATAAACATGATCTGTGGTTCATTTGATTATTTCAATTTCATATGTAGATCTTTTACCCATTTGGAGTTATTTTATTATTTACTTATTTACTTATTTATTTCTGTAAAGGTATGTGCTAGAAGTCCAATTTTATTTTTCTTTAAATAGCAAATTAAGTTTCTAGTTTCATTTACAAAAATGTCCATCATTTCTTCATAGTTATGTAATCTATCCTCTATCATATAACAAGTGATTTGCCTAAATCATTGTTTGTTTGTTTGTTTGTTTTTTTATTCCTGCAATCAGTACATCCCTGCACTAGTACCACACTGATGGTTTTAACATTTGGTGCTGTAATCTGTATTACTACCTAATAGTGTGAATTTCCCATCTTTGTACTTTTTGAAAACTGCTTTAGCAATTCACGGAAAATTATCTTTCTGTATAAATTTTGGAATAAATTTGTCAAGTTTCTTCCAAAATTTAGCTGTGGTATTCAATTGAATAGTGATGAATTTATAGATTTACTTGATGACAATTAAAATATTTAAAATTTTTATTCATTGTATGCATGAGTATATCTCTCCATTCAGATCTACTTGACATCTTTTAATAGAATTTTTTAAAATCTCTATAAAGCTCTCAGGCAGTCTTTGCTAGATTATTTCCCAGGCAATTGATAGTTTTCATTGTTATCACAAATAGCATCTACTTTCCATTTCATTTTCTAGTTACTTATTGCCAGTGAAGAGAACTTGTTGAATATATTTGAAGGATGATTTACTGAGCTGACAGATAAGATTGAAGAACTCTTTCAGAAGGTATTAGCAGGGAATAAAGAGATGGAATGAATGGGAAAAAAAGTCAAAAGATATGGAGATTAGAAATAGCAATACCCATCTAGAAGGAGAGAGAAGATACACATATAGAAAATATTTGAAGAAAAAATACTAATAATTTATTCAAATTAATGAAAGACATAAGACTTCCATTTAAAGAAGAACTGAATAGGAGATATAAGTGGGAAAAATCCTTTCTAATATGGATATATTATAGTAACATTATGATTATTAAAAACAAAAAAAGGCTGCCTAAGTGGCTCAGTTGGTTAAGGTTCGACTCTTGATTTTGGCTCAGGTCATGATCTCAGGTGTAAGGGGTGTGAGATGAAGCTTAAGATTCTCTTTCCTTCTCCCTCTTCCCCTCCCTGTGCCACACATGCACTCTCTTAAAAAACAAAAACAAATTTTAAAGAGCCCAGAAAGGAAACCACTTATAATTTTCAGAGGAAACGAAAACTTGCCTTTCAGAGGGAAACTAAAATCCAATACCTATCAGCCTCTTCAATAGCAACACTGATTGTCAAGAAAGTTTATAAGGAAAAGAATTTGAATCTGATATTGTATTCAGCTGAGCTATCGCTTCAATGTTAGACCAAAAATAAAGATAGTAGTTATCAGAGAGTCTAGCAACATGAAAAATCTCTTTAAGAGAATTCTTAAAATTCTTAGAGGTTTAACTTTTGAAATGAAGGAATTTATTTCATAAGCAAGAAATTGCTATGAAGGGAAGAACACATAAAACATAAGTAAAATTTATTGGTGTCTGAAAAAGTAATAATTTAATCATTAATATAAGCACAAAAATTTAAAACTAAAACTTACTAGGGGAAGAGAGAAATATGAGATAGGGAATTGTATGAATATTTTTCCCTGTTCAGAGGGAAACATGTTTATTCATAAAGTTAAAGACATTGATAAGGAAACATAAACAAACTATGAATCTGTTTAATCCCCCTGCATACAGCATTGACCAGGACACAGTCAATGGTTAAAAAATTTGTTGAAATAATCTTAATGAATTAATAACCACCAACATAACAAAATTGAATGCATACAGTTAATTCATAAAAAAACATCTAAAGTCAGGGTCAGGGAAATGGGAAACAAAATAATATTAATTGCAGTAGGTAGAAAACATCTAATACAATAGTAACAAATTAATTTATGGTAAAACTTATTAATCAAAATAGGAAAAACAATAATAAAAAGACTGACTTTCAGATTGTATTAAAAATAAAAAATAGCAATGTGTCTAGAAGATATTCAAAACAAAAGCACACATAATAAGATGCAGAAAAATTGATAATAAAGGCAATATCAACTAGAAATTTTAATATCAGAGAAAGAGAAAAGATAAAAATGAAAATTATCAAAGAGAGATGTTAAATATGTATGAAAAAAGTAAACTGGGTAGATTTTTACTATCAATATGCAGCTGAGGGTATAGCCTCTTAGTATAAGTAGCAATAACATATCAGATATGGAAAGACGGTAAACGAACACACATTTCATGGAAATGAGTATATGATATGCAGAAAACTATAAAGGTAGAGACGATTTCAATGGCATTACTAAGTTAGATATACTAGATCTATGTCTAGAACTTCATATCAAATGAACATAAAATACATATTTTCAAGCATACATGAAACATTTACCAATGATGGTCATATACCTGGCCCCAAAAGAAGTTTCAAAAAATTTCAAATAAGTAGCAACATATGCTTTATATTCTACAACTACAATGCAGTAAAATTAGAAATCAAACAAGAATATTTAGGAAAAAAATCCCCATTTCTAAAAACTAACTAACATTTCACCTTTGGTTTAAGGCTGACATTATACGCTAAAAGTGAAATTTTTACATTTGAATGATAAGGAAAGCACTAAGTTGAAATCTATTTGCTGCTGAAAAATAGAGGAAGATGTACCAAATTATGAACTAATATTAAGCAGAATATATGAAAGATAAGGAAAAAAGAAAGGTGGAAAATTCATTAAAATCTGAATAATCAGGCAGCCCCGGTGGCCTCAGTGGTTTAGTGCCACCTTCAGCCCAGGGCGTGATCCCGGAGATCCGGGATCGAGTCCCATGTTGGGGTCCCTGCATGGTGCCTGCTTCTCCCTCTGCCTGTGTCTCTGCCTCTCTCTCTCTCTGTGTCTCTATGAATAAATAAAAAAAAAATCTTAAAATATAATAATAATAAAAAATAAAATCTGAATAACCTAGGAAAAGAATAACAAACTAAATCCAAAAACAAAAGAAAAAGATAAAGTTAGGACAAAAAAATTAAAAATAAGGCTGTGAAAAGATAAAGAAACAAACTTATACTGGTACCGGTTAAGTAAAAAAGAAGAGAGAAGAGGCAAATAAATAATAGCAGCATACAAAAGAAGAAATAACTAAATATAACTAAAATTCTACAAGTGTATAATAGGTCAATATACACCGAAAATTGAAAATTTTATATTGATATATTTCTGGGAATCAGGATCACAACTTCCCTTCTCCCAGAAAAAGCCAAGACCAGATGCTATTAGATTTCGAGTTTTGTATGTTTTCAAGGAACATGTATCATACAACTCTTTCTTCAAAAAAAATAGAAAAATAGGAAAGCTGTCTGATTCATTTAACTAGGTTAACATAATCTGGGTACCCAAACTCAGTAAACGATACAAGAGAACAAAACTGTTGGTCAATTTCACTCATAAACATAAATGCAAAGATCCTCATATTAGCTAATTATATTAAACAGTACATTAAAATCAGCTAATTCGTGGCCAAGTAGAGAAAATGCAAGGTACGTAGGGATTGTTCAGCTTGAAAAGCTACTAATGCAATTAATAACCACCACATTAAATGATCAAAAAATTAATCTTTCAATACAGACTGAAAAAGCACTCAATGTGATTTTCTACACAGTTGAGATAAAAATTATTAGCAAATAGGACAGAGAAAGACATTTCCTTAAAAGAACAAAAACAACAGAGGGCATCTACAGTATATCTACAGGAATCATCACATTTAATGGAGCTATTTTAGTTTTGTTTCCTTTCAGGTAGGTGTCATGACAAGGATGCCTGCTATTGCCACTATAGTTCACACAGACTTGAGATCCTGCTAAAGTCATTAAAACTAGAAAAATAATAAGAGATAAAGAGAATAGGAAGAAAAGGTAAACATGAATATCTTCATGAAATGCCCAGGAGAATTTATAAACAAATTACTAAGATTAATATGAAAAAATTTTAAAAGACTAATATGAAAATTAAGTTAACCTAAGCCCTGAAGAAATAATACATACCCATGTGACCACTATCCCAGAAATGACAAATGCTATCATTTTTTTCAAATTTGTTCCAATTTTTTAAATAAAATTAAATCCTTTCAAATTTCCTTTTGTAAATAAAAAGGATACATTTACAAGAAAATTCATTGCAGCATTGTGTGCTAGAACAATTTGAAACAATCTCTTTTACATTACAAAATTTTAAGACTGAAAGAGCAGTAATTACCTAATCTCTCTGTCTGCTCTACAAAGTTTCAATTAACTCAATCCAGACTTTTTCACCAAAATTCTTTTAGTGTAACAACTACTACTTATTTCTCACAATCACCATGTATTCAGGGAGACATATATCCATGTCTAATATTAAGAGTTTAAAAGAAAGGGGTGCCTGGGTGGCTCAGTTGGGTGTGTCAGATTTTTTTATTTTGGCTCAGGTCACAATCTCATGCAAGGTTTGGAGCCTGCTTGAAATTATCTCTCTTTCCCTCCTCCCCTCTTCTGCCCCTACCAACTGCTTACACTCTTTCTCTCTCTCAAGAAAAAAAAGAGAGAGAGAGAGACTTTATAGGAAGGATTTTTATATTTAAATCAGAAGGAATTATTTAAAAATAATTGTACCTCTTAGTTGTACCTGACATGTTGCTTTCCCTCTCTGACAAAACCTTGTGCTCATCCTTTCCAACCTTGGCCTAGCAGAATGGCACCCACAAACAAGGGTGACAAGAAGAAGGGCTGTTCTGCTATCAGAGGTAGTGACCAGAGAATACACCATCAACATCCAAAGGCACATCCAAGGAGGGGATTTCAAGGAGCATTCCCCTCAGGCACCCAGAGAGATTCAGAAATTTGCCATGAAGGAGATGGGAACTCCAGATGGAACACCAGGCTCAATAAAGCTGTCTGGGCCAAAGCAATAAGGAATGTTCCATCCAGTATCTATGTACAGTTATCCAAAAAAAATGTAATGAAGATGAAGATATTCACCAAACAGACTCTTTATGTTGGTTACTTATGTACCTGTCATCACTTTCAAAAATCTGCAGTTAATATGGATGAGAACTAACCACTTATTGTCAAATAAAGGTATAAAACTGAAGGAAAAAATTACTAAAAGGGGATATTGAATGGGTACAATATAATAAACTATAAATATCTTATTTGAAAAAAATATCTTTACTTGAAGCTGATTTATAGTTTTAAAAGATCAAAATTACAAAGCATAAAAATTCCACACCCACTCTCCTGGCCAGGAATTTTTAGATCTTCTTTTCTAACAAATTTCGAATAATTTGAGTGCATTTCTAAACAAAAACTCAAAGCATTTGAAGCCTTTCAAGAATGTAACTGGCCATTCTAGAATAAAATATAAATATGAGAAAATGGGTAAAGTCGAGATCAGTGGTCTAGTGGAAATAGAATGCTAACCATATACATGAACCACGTGTAATTTTCAGTAGCCATTTAGAAAAATTAGAATAAATAAAATTAATTTTAATAACATTTTAATTCAATGTATAAAAATATTACCATTTAACTTATAATCAATATAAAAATTACTATTGACATATATGACATTTTTAATATCAAAATTTAAATATCTGTGTTATTTTACATTTATAAGACCATCTCAGCCTGTGCTATATACATTTCAAGTGCTCAATAGCCTCCCATGGCTAGTGCCTATCATATTGGATAAGACAGATGTAAAGGATGCATTGATTAATATAATAGATCTATTAACATGACATATATGGCATGCTAATCCGGTGAAAGAAAATATCAACACTTAGGAACTTGTAGTATGTGCTAAAAATTGTGTTAAGGATATTATATCAATTATCTCTAAATAAAATCTTTAAAAATAAAAATAAAATTTAAAAAACATACCCCAATGGACCATAGCAAGGACCTGGCAGAGAGAGAATTGAACCAGGCTTAACTGCTTTCTAAGCTTATACTTTTAATTATTTCATATGATTCTTGTTGTAGTTTGGATGATTCTTGGCACCAGGGTGACAACTATGGAGGGGGAAATAAATGGAGCAGTTTGAAAAATATTCAAATGATAAAACCAGCTAGACTTGGTGATGGGTTATGTATGTAGGTCGAGGGATAGGGAGATATCTAGGATGATGGTTGTTTGCTTGAGCAGATGGTCAGATTGTGTGACTGTTACTAAGATAACATTGGAGAAGAGCAGGTTTTTAAGAAAAGATTCTAAGCACTCTATACTTTAGATTCTGAACATACCAATCATCTTTTTAGCTACATTAACCCTCTATTAGGAAATGTGATTTTAAAATGACCCTTTACTTCTGCTGGTTATTACACTGACCAGTCTAGAAAAAGAGAAGATGTCAGAATAAAATAAAAGAAAATCTCCATGATGACTTCCTTTCACAAATAGGAAGAAAAATTATGCAAACATAATTACAGAGGGCAGAGGGAGAGAGAGAATCTCAAGCAGACTGTCTGCTGAACATAGAGCCCAATGCTAGGCTCGATCTCATGATCCTGAAATCATGACCTGAGCTGAAATCAAGAGTCAGACACTCAACCACCTGAGCCACTAAGGCACCTTTCTGTTGTTTGCATCTTAGGGCAATGATCTTTAGTACTGAAATTTAATCTAAAAGGAGACAGTCATTTTCATTCAGTAACCACCTAAAGAGTGACACAATGTGGACAGTGAGGCATCCTGGGTTCACACTTCAAACTCCAGTGTGACACTCTAACTTCCTACACTTCCTGCTGCACCAGGGTAGATTTAATGGCCCAGGACACTGAAAGGATCAGAGGAGTGCTTTCTGAAAGTTTCTTTGGAGCAGGACATAGGATGGACTGACTGAGGCCATTGAAGAGACACTGTATAATAGTCTAATTTTGAGGGTACCACTACCTGGGTGGCGATGATGGAAAAGACATGCTAGTTAAAAAAAAAAAATATATATATATATATATATATATGGACACCTGGGTGGCTTAGCGGTCGAGCATCTGCCTATGGCTCAGGGTGTGACCTCAGGATCCGGAATTGAGTCCCACATCAGGCTCCTTGCAGGGAGCCTGCTTCTCCCACTGCCTGTGTCTCTGCCTCTCTGTCTCTCTGTGTCTCTCATGAATAAATAAATAAAGTCTTTAAAAAAATTGTGTTAGGAGTCTGAAGACTTATTTATGCGCAGCATTGGAGATAAGGAAGATGTCAAACATGACACAGGTAGGACCTAATATGTGATGATGGTCCCATTGGTAGGAAGAGAACCCGGACTGGATATGCATAGAAAGGTGTTGGAATAATGTAAAGGAGATTAGACAGTGTCATTGGCACTATTCTACTCCCTTTAGATTTCCCTTTTGTGTTGCAATGGCAACAGACAGGACAATGGATGTAACACAGATATCTTGAGATTAGATGTATTTGTCACCATAGCAGTCAGATAAATGATAAGCGTGAGAAGTACTCAAGATGTGCTATGTTTCCAGGTTGTATACACTCTTTTTTATCCAACAGCTTACACTTTCCTCATATTATCTCACTCTCTGACCTCTTACACACCTTTCAACTCTGTAAGGGTAACAAAACAAAACTCTCTTATCCTTAGAATATATTTCATATATATCTGAAATCTTACTAAGATATATTTTTCTTTTAAACTGAGGAACTTATTTGTGTGGATCCAATCCTGTAAATTTTTGCCATAGAACCTAATGGCAAAACATTCTTGAAAATAACATAACTTTTTCCAAGGAACTCTTCAATTCCTGCCCAGTTTCATATGTTTTTCTAAATGTCTTATGTCCCTATATATAGAAGGCTACATCTACATCTTTTCACTTCCTACCCTCCCAATCACTATATCCTAACACCTGTAGTAATATTTAGCTGGCATTTGTAATGTTAGGATAAAATTATAGGAGAGGAGTGAGATTCATTGCATAGTGATCTGAGTCACTTGGAAAGATAATGAACAGAGAAGAAAGGAGATTAGTGCACAGAGAAAAGAATAAAGTCAAGGATGGACCACCCACAATTGGTGGCATTAAAGAGTGGGAAAGTTCCTATGGAGGAGAGAGGGGAAAAGGAAGAGGGGAAGCAATTACCAGTGTATTCTAATGTCATAGGTAAGACAGGTGTTTCAAAAGGTGGTAGTGGAATATACAATCTTCTCTTTCTGAGCATTCAAGAGAAATAGGCTCAGGGAAAGATCATTGATAACTTCTGATAAAACAGTTTTAGTGGAGTGTTGTAGGAGAAAATCAAATTGGAAAGGGTTAGGGATGAATGGTTGACAAACAGAGGCATCAGCCTGATAGCTTGTAAAAACTCATAGATCAGCTGTAGAAACCTCACAGACCACATTAATGTGCTCTTTTATCACAGAGAATAATTTGAAACTCTTCATACCACATTAGTCAGGAAACTGGGTTTTACTTTATTACTATCAATCTATTGTACAAGTTAAGGAAAGCTATTTTAACTACTTCCACTTTCTTACCTAATTTAAACTAGATACACAACTGAAGTGATATTAAGATGATGTTTATATACCAGTGGGAAAAAAAGGGGGCATTTGATTACCAAAAATATAATTTTTACAAATTTGGAAGACTTTTATATAAATATTAACTAACCAAAAATTCTTTGATCAGATGGTGAGAATAGAATTTCTATTTTAGAAAATATGCTCACTTTCAGGTTACTATGAAAAATACTCTCAAGATATTCGGATAAGACATATTCTCCACTTACAAGGATCTCGTAATCAACTGAGAATATAAAGTTGGACTGCTAAAATATGTATTATTACAGGCAGAATGAGTTAGTGCCCATTCCCTAGTCCATGAAGTTTATATGAATATCCTTGTACAGGCTCTGCTCTAACCTTTAGTAAATGGTGTGGGAATTTCTTACCTAAGAATTGTATTAGCCCTATTGTAAAAGATAAAGCAATTTTTAAGCTTTTGCTAGAACCCAGTATTGCCAAAAATGGCCATTAAAGACTGATGACTGTACTACTTAAAAGGGTAACTGTGGTGAGTTTCACATTTCCTACACATACAAAAAAATGTAGGCATGGGTTAGAAGTAGGAGAATGTACTAAATAGGTACTGACACCATTTATATTACAATGTAAGCAATTTCTCCACTCTGAATGGAGTATTCAGAGTAGCTTATATTATTTTGACAAAAGGTTCCTCTTTTTTAATAGGATTCTGAGTATTAGATTCTGAGTATTAGATTGAAATATTTCCTCTGATGGTGTATATGTGTAAGTGTGTGTGTGTGTGTGTGTGTGTGTGTGTGTGTGTGTGTGTGCGTGCGCTTGGTACAATCCTTGGTGACCAGAAAGAATGGGAAGGCATGCACCGCTGCCTGAGAGACACTGGCCTGTCAGCACTCACTCTGAAATGTTCTTCTGTAGTTCACCTGCTAATTATGGCATTACTATGTATTTACTAATTTAGATTTTATGAATTATATTACTACAAATTATCGTGTTCAGTTTGCATTGCTGAGACAGAGGACAAGAACATATATTTAGCTTCTGAATCTAAAGACTGTTATTCTTTGCCTATAATCCCTCTTGACAGTGAATCATCAGAAAGGTAATTTTAAAAAGGTTTCACTGTTTTTATATTACCATTCCCTTAATTCCCCTCAAAAATCACCAAAAGGTATATGGAAGTAATCAACCTCAGTGACTTCTTGGTGGCTAATTGAAGGAAGTCACAACATAGGAAGTTTAAAATCGTTAACAAAATACGACATTATCCAGTTTCCAAGAAACTTATGGTTTCACATGAGATTTCCTCACAGGTTTTAGAAATTGGTTTCCCTGTCTCAAAGTCATTTGTTATATCTCTCCTCTTCAAATAAATAGATAAGAACACAAAGAGATACATCAAGAAATAATAGTGTCTATAGATACAGAAGGAAATATTTTGCATGCCAAGAAAGCTAAGTGGATGTTTGGAAGACTTGGAAACTGAAGACTTTCTGAATCCTAGCCAGGATGATTGCTATGGAATGAATGCTTACGCCCTCCTTAGACTTATATGTTG